GTGATTGATAGACTGACTGATTGATTCAACGATTTTTATTTTACTGATGCGAATTATATTATTATCAATATGATTTCGAATTATTAACATTCATTAACGAAAGATTGATTCAATAATTAATTCAATATTCTTTTTTTAAATTATTGATTTTAATTGTTACATTGACGTTAGTTTTCTTTTCTTTTTTTAATTGTTATATTAACTTAGTGATTGATAGACTGACTGACTGATTGATTGATTGATTGATTGATCAACTCGAGAATGTCAAGGGACATTACCTTCGATTTCATCATATAATACCATAGGATTTTGAATTTTTCCTACATAATAATGGGTAACTTAATAGCATATGGTATGATAATTGAAAATGATAATTATTAATCATTAAATCAAACATCTATTGGGAGTTTTAAGTTATTTAGTTAGAATTCACGCCGAATTCATTTTTGCAAATTTTTAGATAACATTTTCAGAATTTTCAATAAGCAAAATATATTTATTAGAAATTTTGCACATTTATAAAAATAAATCTTTTTCTAATTTTTCGTCCATTTTTTTGCCATTCCTTAATTATTTCATCACAATTATTTAACCATTCAAATATTAATTTCTAAATTATTGAGGAAATTTATGGTACTTCTAAATTATTAGTAAAATTAAGAAATTTAGAATTATCAGATAGCTATCAGGAATCCGGTTTATATGATAAATTGTATCATATCAATAAGTAATGCTACAAAACTTCATTCCATACTTTATACTTTCTTGATAATAGTTTCATTTAAATTATTTTTAAATTTTCAATACTCAAATATATATATATATTCCATCCCCTCCATAAACATACTAACTATCTGATTAATGTTATCACCCTCTATGATAACTTCATATACTCTCTTTCATTTCCCAATTCATAATTTCATTCAATTATTAAACTTTTATCAGTTCGAGATATCTTAAATTTGCTTACACTAACATTATTGTTTTGATAAATAGCCAAAATTAATTTGCTAATCAAATTTTAGCTACAATTTAAATTTAGATTTTCCGACCAACTGTATTAAATATTGGTTTAATCATACTATTAATATTATTGATAATGTTTATCACGGGTTTGGTATATATTAAAATACGTTGGAGACCTACAACACATCGTGATATTTGGTTGCGTACATTAGCCAGGTGAATAATATTTCTTTTTAAAAATTATTTTCAAATTTTATTTAAGATTTATTTAATAACTATGCAGTCGTTTAAAATCTTTTAAATTTGAATGAAAATTCTTTAAAATTATTGTTATTAGAATTTTAGGTTCTTTCTTCTTCTTTTTTTTTTTTTTAAATAAATCTTTTGGATGAAACAAATTTCAGTGTTAAAAAAGATTTAATTAATGCAAAATTAAATTTTAATGAACAATTAAATTACGATACTTTTTCCTTTTTGCTCTAAATATTAATTTGGTCCTTTTTTTTTGTAGTAGTATTGATAATAGCATTTTCTGATAATAATGCTATTATCAATGATTTGGTAGCATTGATAATAGCATTTTTTGATAATTCTGATAATAATGCTATTATCAATAATTTAGTAGCATTGATAATAGCATTATTTACTTCTTATCATTAAATATGCTAATCTACCAAAAGTAAATTATGTCAAAAATTAAAACATGCTAAAAGTAAATTTAACTTTTCCCTTTTTTTTTTTTTCAGAGCTGCAGTAAATAAAATGGAAATTCGAAAATTTGAAAAAAATGATAATTTTGGCATAAATACCACTAATAAATTGCATAAAAAGCGTTCATTACTATGTCTTCCATCAAAACGACGTTATTTACCTGTATTTGGTTCACTTACATCTGTTGCACGAAGTTATAATGGTCAAGTTCGTCGTATCATCCATTTAATAATTTCAAATTTAAATTTACTTTTATTAAAATTTCTTTTTTTAAATTATTTCGTCAAAATTTTTTTTCCTTCTTTTTTTTTGCATTTTTATTTAAGTTAATATTTAAATTACTTATCATTTCAATTTTCAGTACAGATATATATATATATAATTTTTTTTTTTAAGGAACGTTGTAGTATTTGTTTGGAGGAATATAAGGAAGGACAAGAATTACGAGTGCTATTTTGTGGACATGAATTTCATCCAAAATGTGTTGATCCATGGTTACTTAGTAACAGGTAATAATTTAATATTTTTATTTAATTCATATATCATTTTAATAATAATTAGCAATTGTATAGGAATAATTAAAAAATCATTTAGCATAAATCATTTATGCTTACTCATTAATTATTTCATTCAGAATATTTTATCCTAAATAATATAAATGGCAAGGAATCTTTTTTTTTTTTTTTT